AAAACCTGCTCTATTCGATCTTGCTAACTTAGGTGGGGAAAAAAGAATCATGACTTTGACGGAAAAACGTTTTTCATGACCAACGACTACATAGAAAGTTTCTCTGCCTAAAGGAGTAAGCTTCGGTTAATTGCAAAAAATCAACTATGCAGAAGAGCTTATTTCCCCACCCTCCCCCCCAAATGTCACTCAAAGGAGGTATTCCCGGTCCGCATGTCACATAGAGAGAAAGTTTAGGGGACTTAATTCTAAGAGGTGGTACAGGATGCAAACAGACACAGACCATTATTGATTGAGATTTGGGTGAGTGCACAGATTATTCAACTATAACAAGGTATTAAAGGAATGTGGGATGGGGGAGGGAGGGAGGGGACCTCTGTTATGATTGCTGCCACCTGGCAAGGAGTATCCACCATGCTAGCCCCCGGAATGATGCCAGAAAGTAGACAGAAGCCTGCGTGGATGTGACCCACCCTACGGAGCAACCTCTTAGCCTCTGGCTGAGCACACCGTCTCTGGGGGCTCTCGGGGTGCCCAGCTTCCTAGCCCTGCTTGCAGGGAGCTCCTTGAGTGCTCAGCGGGGCAGTGCTCCCGTCATGCCCACCCCCAATCTCTTATCCACTCCTCCGTGAGGGTGGGTGCTATGGTGCATCCCTCCCAAATCCATATGCGGAAGCCCTAAACCCTAGTGTGATAGCATCTGGAGGTAGGAGGGCCTTTAGGGGGTAATGGGATCATGAAGGTGGAGCCCTCCTGATGATATTAGGACACAGCAAGAAGGCAGTCAGCTATAGACCAGTAAGAGAGCCCTTGCCAGGAGCCAAACTGGCCGGCACCTTGGTCCTGGACTCCCCAGCCTCGCAACTGGGAGAAGTAAATGTCTATAGCTCAAGCCACCCAGCAGGTGGAGTTCAGTTACATCAGTGAGCAAGTCACTTCACCTCTCTGAGCAGCAATCTGCTCTCCTGAAAAATGTGGATGGTGACATTATGTCTCCTTCCTGCCTCCCACCCTCTCGCCCTTCCTTCCATCTCTACCATGGGTACCAGGAGTCCCAAGCCAACAAGCAGAGGCAAGAGACCCAGAGGTGTCCAAAGCCCTAAACAGATTTATGTTTTATAAAGAACCCAGTACAGCTACCATCACATGGTTCCCCCAGGGTCATCGTGCTCTTGAGCAGATGACAAACTGCCCTGGGCCACTGGAGATCAGTTAGGGGACAGTGACACCAGCACTACAAAAGACTGGGCTTTGGGTTAATAATACTTTCCTAATTACGAATAAGTCAATGAGCGTGACTTAGGGAAGACAGGGAGGGGGAGGGGAAGCCAGCCCCAGCCCCACGACTGCGTGTCCAACCCCTAGCACGGTTTGGCACATTGTGGGCACTCGAGAAACGTTTGCTGAATGGAACAGACAGGGGGCCCAGACAGAGCATCCGCACTTAAGGATTAGGGACTTCTCGACGTCCAGACGCATGTCTGGGCTTGAGGCTAGCGGGTCTAATTCGGCTCTGCATCCGTGAACATTTGTTTCCCATGAATCCTTCACCCGAGCAAGGAAGACTCACATTGTAGGTCACGTTGGCCTCGCTCTAGAACTCGGATGATGCTTGGAAGCATCAAAATTCCATAATCTGTGACACACACACACACACACACACACACACACAAAGTATCACGTGTCCCAGCTCCAGAGCGGGAATCAGCCCGTTTCAATGGGAGCCAAGGACCCTCCCAGGGCTGGGTGCCCTCACCCTGGGTCCAAGGGACTCAGGAGACAGCTGCCTCCTGCCTGGGCCCCCTCAGCTAAGATCTGATTTTCTCATCATCTGGATAGTCTCAGCGACTCGCAGCAAAGGGATGAACCAGGCTGACCTTTCTGGAGGTTTGTTTAAAGCAGAACAATGTTTGTCTTGTCCAAACACTATGAATTACTCCAGAGAATCCTGCCCAGTTTTACAATTCACAGCTACAAACAGCTTACATAAATAGGGACTCATCCCCTCCTCTCCCCCCGCCCCGTTTTTAATGGCTTCTCCTCCCCCCCCTTCCACTCTTCAGGCCTTCCCCTGCCCCCCTCACACCTTCTCTCCTCTGAGCCCCAGCCTGGCGAAGGGGCAGGTGTCAGGTACTCTGGACCACAGGTCACACCTGCATTATTGCTGGCACGGATCCCCTATGGCGGGTGGGCTGCTCTGTCCCTGGTGTGGGCAGGGGTTTGCCTTTCTAAGCGGGGGGGGGGGGGCCTCTGGGCACATTTGTACTGTGGGTGGGGGGCCTGTGGTGCACAGTGTTAGATCCAGCTGTGAAAGCGTGTTGGTAAGAAAAGGCCCCTGGGTTGGGGGGGTTCAACATCTAGCCCATTTAGACCATCCTCATCTGGCAGGGTGTTCAGCTCACCCACAGCTTTTCCTTCTCAGGCTGCACATTGGGGGGGAATCCCCCGGTATCTCCTAGAAATAGACCCCCCCCTCCACTTTCAGGTCTCCCATGGGGTAGGAGACAACAAATGCTGATCAAATATGAAGCACAGAAAGTGAGCAGGGGCATGGTCTTGGGAAAGGAGGGTCAGCTGGGGACAGAGCCCAGTTTCCTAAATTATCTCCCTAAATATAGTCCTTACACCACCTGCACCCAAATGCTTTGGGAAGCTTGTTTAAAATGCAGATTTCTGGGCCCCTCCCCAGGCCGAGGGAAGCTCTCTCTGGGGGTAGGGCCCCGGGCTGATGCCAGAGTCTGAGAAATCCTCTCTAGCTTAAGTCCTCTGACTAAACTCGCTGGATGACCCCAGCAAGCCACTCCAGGACTCACGATCACCACCTGCACCGCGGCCCCAGACTCTGAAAAGGCCCTTCCCACTCTTAGATGGTGTGGTTTCAGGGACAGCTGGGTACTAGGACCCAGAAGCAGCAAGGGTGGGTGGAAGCAGCCTGAGACAAATTTTGGGGAGTCATTGAAGCTCCTAGGAGAGGTGTTGGTGAAGATTTGGACAGATGCCAGGGGAGTGTGAGGCCGGATTGGTGGTTGGGGGTGTGAGTGGTGTGTGGGATCCTTCTACTGAGGGTCCCCACTGGGAGCCAAACGCGATTTCATCTTTGCTTTGCAGACAGGGAAACTGAGTCACAGAAGGGAGGAGTGACTTCCACCCAGCAGCTGGTGAAGAGGCATGGAATGCCCTCGCCTATACACCCTGGGACACCCATCTGGCAATCCCAGAAAGACCCCTTCTCCCCCAGCTGTTTCCCTTGTCATTCTGGCCTCTAAGAGGTTGGCTCTTAGGGCCACAGCTCCTTCTAGCTCCTTCTCTTCCTTTGGTGGGAGGGTCCCACTGGGCGGAAGGGCCCAGAGCTAAATCTGCCCCTTGAGGCGGACGCACAGTGAGCCAACAGCAGGAAAATCAAGTGCCGGGCGCTTCACCCGGGAGAGAGCCAAGCCAGCCCTGCCCACCCGGAGACCCCGCAGCCGGGCTGGGGGCGCTGGCAGTACTCGGTCCGCCGGGTCAGGGCTGCGGCTGAAGCTCACGATCCCGCTCGGCCGGAGGGAGGGCACAGGGCGCCGCCAGGGAAAGGCCCCTGACTTTCAGAGCTCGAAGACCGCTTGTGCCCCAACACCCGCGGCGACCTCGGGTCGAGAGGAGGTCAGAGGATCAAGCCACTGGAACTCAGCGGGTGCACCGAGGCAGCCCCTAGGGTCCGAGCAGGAGTGGCCAGCTGGAGGCCGCGGAGGGCACGGTGTCCCCTCTCCAGGTCCCCGGGGAGACGGAGCTGATACCGCCGGGAACCCAGAAGCAAGCGCCTGGTGAGGGTCGGGATTCCAGGAGAGCGGGCCCTGTTTCTACGATCTACGTATGCTTGCGCATTGGATTCCATTGACAATTCGGGAGATCCAGAAGCTTGCTGCGTGACCTCCGGCACGCAACGGACCGCTCGGAGCCGCCGGCCCTCCTCTTTTGCGAACCGCGGGGTTCGGGACGGACGCTCCCCAAGCCCCAGCTCCAAAGTCCGCGCCTTGAATTAGCGGCGCCTCTTTCTAGTTTAGCATTTGATTTTCTAATCAAGCTCTTTGTCCCCTGCGGCCTTAACCCGAGCCCCCAGCTTCCCCGTCTCCCTCGACCCCCGCCTGGGTCTCGCCCTCGCCCGACTTTCCCGTCGAAGGGCCTCGAGTGAGTGATTCCCGGGAGCCGAGGCCGAGGCCGGCGGGTCCGCGGCGCGGGCCGGGGCTGTATGGAAATGGCCAGAGAAGCCGGCGGGCGCGGCGGCGATTTATTCTGGGAGTGACAGCCCCTTTGAGCGCTCAGCGAATGGCATTTTCTGTCTGTGAAAGCCTTTCTTCCCACCTCTGTTCAGATTAGCCCGGGGGATGAATGCGCCCATTATCCAGCCCGCTGACCATTCTGAAACGCCAAATTAATTACTAAGCACTGAATCAGGCGCCGGGGCCGGGGCACCGGGAGGTGTGAAAATAGCGAGCGGCTGGAGCTGGGGAAGAGGCGAGGGGCGCAGCGCCGAGAGGCCGGGCGGGGTGGCCCGGGGCGCGGGCGCGGCGGGGCCCGGGCGGGCTTGGCCAGCGGCCGAGCGCGACCTGCCGGCGTGACCCGGCGCGACCGCGGGGCGAGCGGGCTGCGGGGACCCGGCGGGCGGGAAGGCGCGGGGCGGGGGTGGCGGCTCCGGCCGGCCCCCGGGGGCTCGCCGGGAACCGCGGGCGGAGCGCGCCAAGTGCGCCGGACGCGGGGCGGAGGCTCGGCCGTGCGCCGCGCGCCGGTGCGGGTCCCCGAGGCGGCGCCGGGCCCCGCCGCCCCCGGACGGCCCCAGCCCGCAGCCACCCGCGCCGTCCCCGCCCCGGCGCTGCGCCGCTCCGGCTGCCCTCCGAGGCCTTCCCCAAACTTGGGCGCCGCCCTCCGACCGCAGCCCCGGCCGGAGCTCCCCGAGCGCGGGGCCGCCCCATGTCCCCCTCCCCGCGCCCCCGGGCCCCGACTCCCGCGGGCCGGACGGCACTTACCTCCCGAGGCGCCGCGCGGGAGAGCGAGGCGAGCTCTCGGCGGCTCCCGCTGGAGTGCGAGGGGCGCGGAGGAGCGCGCGCCTTTAAGACTCTTCCCCGAGACTCCGCCAGGTGGTGTCAGGCCGGCCGGGCCCGGGCGGCTCCTCACCCCCGCGGCCGCCCTGCTCCCGGCCCGCCCCGGGCAGAGCCGCAGCCGCGCGCTCCCACTGCGCGCCCCGCGGCGCCCGCTCTTGCGGCGCTGAGCCGGGAGCACAGGAGGACAGGATGGGGACAGCTGGGGACCCCCGGATGCCCCAGAGGAAGCCACTCATCCTACCCACTCTAGCTCAGGAGGGCCCGGGACTTGGAGGAATCTTATTTTTGGACCGGGTGCTGGGGTGGCGCCGGGGGAGGACAGGGCTGGAAAGTCTTGTCCAAGGACGTGCGATTACGTCCCCGCTGTCATCACCTCGGGACGCGCCTTAGGTCCGTGCTAAACCGGTCCTGTCGCCCTTGATCCAAGATGGCGAGCTGACACGCCTCCCCCAGTCGCTGCGGACAAGACCGAAGCGATAAAACAGACGGAGAGCTGTCGCCACCTAAAACTAGGGGGGGAGTGCCATTCACACTCCTGAACCAGAAAAGTTTAAGAGGGCCCGAGGGAAGGTTGAAGGAACTCCAGTTCCTCCGGCGAGAAGCAGGAGTCGGCCTGCAAAGAGCCTAGAGCAAGCCTGTCTGCCGTGCCGCTGCTCCAAGTTCAAGGGAGCGAGTGCGTTCACGCGCGGGCCGCACCTGGGAACGCGGCGCAGGGCTCACGGCTGCTGCCCGGCGCGGGCTGGCAGGCGCAAGCCACCGTTCTGGCCCCAGGCCATTATTAAAATTGTAACTCATGGGTCCTCCCTTTCGGAAATTATTTTTTGACATTTATATTGAGATTGCAGGCTGCATTAATAATTAACTCAGGTTTTCTGCCTTCGTTGTTTACTGTTTATACAAACGCCTTCCTCATTCCTGAGTTTCTCATTGTAGTTTCTCACACAACTGAAATGTTGCTTTGAGTAACCCCTGGGGAAGGACACGTGGGCATGGGGACTTTCTGAGTCTTTGCGTGTCCAGGAATGTCTCTGTTAACTTCCAAGCAGACACTGGTTGCATATAGGATCCTGTAGGATCTAGAACCCATAACCTTTTATGTACCCGTCTAAGATAGGGGTGTCGTTAGCACTAAACAGGGAAACGAGTGGAAAGTGATTGCTTTGCTTTGTGGCTAATACATCTGGGGAATCCCTGGACCTATTTGTGACGACCCCTTACAAGTTATTGATTCATTGCCTTCTGGTTTTTATAGTTGCAGGAACTTCTCCTAGAGAAGTTTTAGAGAATAACATCATTCAGAACTTTCTTCCCTTTTTTTTTTTTTTTTTGGCCACTGGCTTTAGTTTTCTTCACTTTCTTGAAAGAAAAAACAAACATATAGGTTCTGTTACTGCCTCCCTTACTAATTACTATTACCGACCTTGGGTTCGTCCTTTCTTCTCCCCTCACCTGTAAAAGGAACAAATTGGGCTACGTGACTGCTGTGGTCCCATCCAGCGCCAGGGGGCTGGGAGCCTATTAGCGGATGATTAAAAAGCAACCATCCCACCACAATAGCATAGCACTGCACGCCGGGTAGGATGGCTGTAATAAAAAAGGTAATAACAAGTGTTGGTGAGGATGTAAAGAAATCAGTACTCTCATGCATTGCTGGTGGGAATGGGGAAAACGGTGTAGCCCTTGGAAAACAGTCTGGCAATCCATCAAAAGTTTAAACATACAGTTGCCCTGTGACCCAGCAATTTCACTCTTAGGGATATCCTCAAGAGAAATGAAAACATTAGTCTACTCAAAAACTCGTATATGAATGTTTATAGTAGCCATTCTTCATAGGAACCCCAAAGGGGTTAACAACCCAAATGTCCATTAACTGATGAAGAGATACATAAAAGGTGGCATATTCCTATAATGCAATATTATTCAGCCGTAAAAGAAATGAAATACTAATGCATGCTACAAAGTAGATGAACCTTGCAAACGGTATGCTGAGTGAAAGAAACCAGTTACCAAAGACCACATGTCATACGCTTCCATTTATTCTGAAATGTCCAGAATAGACGGATCCATACAGACAGGAAGTGAACTGGTGGATGTTTAGGGCTGGGGATGGGGCTTGGGGGCTATGGGGAGTGAATGCTAATGAGAATGGGCTTTCTTTGGGGGCTGATAAACACTGTGATGTTGGTTGCACCTACCCTGTGGCTATACTAAAAACCACTGTACACTTTAAATGCATGAATTGTATGGTATGTGGATTATATCTCAATACAGATGTTGTATCCAAAGTCCTTCCTGAGCACGCATTGAGTGTCAGGTGCTGGGGTGAGTACGGGGATACAGAAGTGAATGAGATGTGGGCTCTGCGCTCGTGAAGCTTACAGCATAATTGGGAGGTTAGCTATTTCAGAATCTGCCAAAAGAATGAAACAGCCTCGGGCGCCTGGGTGGCTCAGTTGGTTAAGCGACTGCCTTCGGCTCAGGTCATGATCCTGGAGTCCCGGGATCAAGTCCCACATCGGGCTCCCTGCTTAGCGGGGAGTCTGCTTCTCCCTCTGACCCTCTTCCCTCTCGTACTCTCTGTCTCATTCTCTCTCTCTCAAATAAATAATTTAAATCTTAAAAAAAAAAGAATGAAACAGCCTCCTCCTCACACTGTGCACAAAGACTTCCATGGCCCGTACAAAGACAAGACAAAGGTGACACTTAGGTATTACTTTCCCGTTCTTTTTCCTCCTTTTCTCTTGCCCGGAAAGAAAAGGCTACAGTAGCCGTGAAGACTCAGTGGACTTTGACTTTCAGAATAGTGTCTCCCCAGAGAGCAGCCGCCTGCAAAGCCATGGCACAGTGATTAAGAGCAGCCCCTGCAGATAGAACCAGAACTCCAGGGTTCAAATCCCAGCCCTGCCTCTGGCCAGGCACATAGTCAAGTCACTTACCTTTTCCGGGCCTGCTTCTCTATGGGCAAAATGGGCATAACAGTGCCTAAGTCATGAGGAGAGAATGAGTTGATATCTATAAAATGATACCCTGGGGTAGGCGCCCGGTAAGTACTAACTGATGCTACCACTCAGTCCTTGCTACCCATCTGCCAATCAAGCAGCTTGACTTAGCTCACAGACCTGCTATTTTCTTATGTACCACTAGGTGGCGCAGACATACCACTTCGGACGCCGGAAAAATGTCCCTGGGTCCCCGGCATGGTTAACTCTGGGCTTTGATACACTACCCCAAGAGTTTGCTCCTGCTGGTTCCATCTGTGAGCTATAGATAGCAACATCATCTATAACTCGGCAAATCTCTCTGGTCAGTGCCACTCCCTGGGAAAAGTGTTCTCCAATCTAGAGAAACCAGTGCAGGTGTACAAATGAAGTGCGTGATCCAGGGCAAAATGTTCTCTGTGCACCAGCTCAGGACCTGCTATGGAATGGTCGCTGTGATGCACCCTCCCAGGGCACCCTCCTCCTTTGGATTACAAATATTTTTTAACACCCTCCCTTATCATCCTGAAATGAAATTTACAATGATGCAGCTTTCCTGCACACATAATTTCCTCCTCCAACATAAGCCCCCGGTGAGTGACATATGCAAAAAATAAAAATAAAGTCACAAAAAGTCAAATAACACGCATTTCAATATGCTAATGCCCCGCATAGCTTCATTCAGTGATGTAGAGAAATAGTTTGCATGCTTCCATCTTGGAGTAGAATTACCAGGAAGACCTCTGTAACAAATGATATCTGATCGAGGCGTGTAGCTCTGGTGATTGCAACATCACCAATGGCCACCGCCCTGGGCAACGTGATTTTCCAAAGCAGGTCAACACGTTTCCGTCGAGCTGCCGTCCTGCGAGGTTCGTGTTCGTTAAGATTGTCAATCAAGACAAAACAAGACAGATCCTTTGTGTTCGTTAACAAAGTAAAACTGGGCTCTGGGCACAGATGATTTTTTTGCATCTTTATGAATGTTCAGGGGGACACTTCGAGGACCTCCCTTTTTGTGGCTCTTTGTCCAGAAAGGGGAGGTGGCCCTGAGGGAGGCTGGCCTCAACGGCCGATCCCGGGCACAGCCCAGTGGTCTTTTTGAGGCTTTTCCTAAAACCCAGCTGGGAAGTAAATCAGCACAGACAGAATCCTGATTTTAGCCACAGGGGCCGGAGCCTCTGAGCAAACCCTTGGCTTAGGAGAATTTCCTGCTGTACATTTGCTAGGCACGGCAGTCCCAAGCTATTCCTGCTCTGCTTTCTCAGGGATGGGGTTAGAGAGACCGGGGCTCGGTGGAACAAGGTTTTGACATGTTGGCACGTCCAGGCTTGTCCCTGGGCTCCACCTGCTATGGGGCTTTTTCCGGTCCATGCATCTGGCCTTTCCTTTCTCCCAGCAGTTAGGGCACCTCTCCCCCGAACGCCCCCCACCCCACCCCAGCTTTCAGCTTGTTTGTCTTGAGAAGCAGGTATGACATGACCCAATCTCCCTGCTGGTATTCCTGGAATTCAGCTAGTTTAGCAAACCGAGACTGGATCCCTCCCGAGCGAGGCAGCCGCTTCTCTCTGTACACATTCCAGCCCTTCTGCCAATTGATGTTTCAGGGCCAGCTGGTCATCTACAACACACGTTTGGACACCTCAAGAATTTCCTTCCAGACTCTGGCCTAAAAAGGGCAGCCAAAGGGCCCGGAATGCATCCTGCCATCAAACAAAAGGGTCAGAAGCCTCTCTAACTGTATATTTCTGCTCTTCAGACAACACTCCGAATGCCTTCTCACTCAGCTATCCATGCACCTGCAGCTGTAAACCTACGTGGCTTCTCTAGTGCACAGACATTTATTGACCACCTCCTGTATGCCATGCCCTATGGTGCAGTGGGAATGGGGCAGGTACAGTCCCTGTTCTCCTAGGGCTCACGGGCTGGTGGAAAAGACAGACGTTCAATAGACAATAACACAAACAGCTATGTGATTGCAGTAAGAACTGCAAGGAAC